GTAACAAGTTCATAATAGCATCTTAAATGAATATGTAAAAATCCTGTGGGTTGCATAATACTTGTTCTCTTTGTCATGTAAAATTTAAAAATACCATGGGACAAAGCAAAATCAGATGTTAGAAAAAATTCATTTTATTACCACATATTACCACTGAATACATAAGGAAAATATGCTAAAGTTAGCAATTCTGTGCATATGTACTAACAACAATCTTCTACCACTGATTAATGCTACCACTGGTGCTAATGCTTTTACAAATTTTGATGTAGTTTTAACACCTTCTTAGCTTATCAAGTAATAATAACAAAACAAGAAATACAAACTAAAACAAAGCACATCGTCAAAATAGTAGGAGGACGATCTTAAAAAATTGTGGGGAAGCCGCAGTGGTAATGCAAAACTCCACAAGGACACACACACAGGAAGGCATCAGGTTTATATCCTATATCCCTGTACATGCTGGGCACACGCGTGTGTGCTGTGATCCAAACTGGCTGAGAGAGGGATGGTGGGAGAGGAGAATGATAGCATGAGGACCATCTGCTTGGGATGCCTGCCTGTATTTGTGTCCATCTGCCTCTCACTCAGCAGAAAAAGGGAAACTTTTTAAAAAGTGTATATATCAGTAGCCAAAGTAGCATGACATATTTATGTTGGGGGTAGGAATGCAAGAATACTATTGGGTCATCAGAAAAGTTAGGACACATTTTTGCATAGAAAAATAAGTCATGACTTTTCCGACGACCTAAAACTTTCTGAAGCAAATAAGAAAAGTTTGCCTTTTGATCACAGCAAAGACATATTATAAACCCCCTTCAATCAATAAGTTCCTATTTTTAAAATTCGTTGCATTGTTTAAATAGTAATCTTCAGAGTATTAGTCACCTGTGCTCCAATGAAAAGGTATTTTGTAGGGTTTTTTTCCTTGTTTTATTTCCCACAGTCTGGCTACTTCGTGTGTGTGTGTGTGTGTGTGTGTGTGTGTGTGTGTGTGTATACATAAACATGTACATATGTATATATTTTAAGAAATATAGATGATACAAATGTACACACACACACACCTTTCTCTATAATTTACTTGTAAATTACCTAGGTGTCAGGCTCTGTGCCTAGTCTTGGAGATGGAAAAATAACCAAGATGTGTTCTCAAATAACAAGCATAATTGTAAATCAGCCTACCTGTTTGGTTTGCTTAACACACATGCCTTCAATACCACTTGATAAAACTATCAGCTCTTTGCACATAGGAGCCTCCTTTATGGACCATCTGTCTCAAATGATTCAATATTATACAATCTGGTTCTAACATTCCAATCAGCATAGTTCTATGGCTTATTACGGGTAAACCATAGCACAGTATTATTATTATTACTACTACTACTACTATTGGGTCATCAGAAAAGTCATGACACATTTTTGCATAGAAAAACATAAAAAATAGTCATGACTTTTATGACAACCCAATATTATTATTGACATATTATTAGGCAGACCATAGGTAACTAATATTTGCTGATTGGTTGATCACTTGATTGAATCATTAATAGGCACATACCGGGAAACAACAATAAATAATGATGGCTACCAACACTTACTTAGACCTCAGATACTTTGCAAAGCACTTTTCATACATTCTCACAGTTTACCCTTTCATAAAGGTATCATTATACTTGTCTTACATATGATAAAACTTTGGCTCTAAGTTTTAAGTAACTTGCATAAAGTGACACACCAAGAAGAGACTCATAACTCAGTTTTGCCCATAAACATAAAGGCTACCTCTCAAAGCTGGCTCATCGCAACAAAATTTTGGTTCGTGGCTAAATGAACTTAAGAATAGGTCGACAGACTTAAGTCAATCAAAACTGTATAACAGGGCTGACCCTATAGTCTACTGCTTAAGGGAGCTGTGTCCCACATGGCTGACCACATAGTTTGAATCCAGTCCCCAGAGGCTTGAGGAATGCACCAGGGACATACGCATGCCTGCCCAGAATCTCAACAGGATACAGATGGAGAGGAAGAGAGGACAGCATGGCCATGCCACATTGAGGGGCGCTTTCTCCCTTTCCCTCTCTCTGTGTCTTTGTCTCTGGCAAGCACATGTGTCCTCTGCCAAATGTTTTTGTAAGTACATAATAATAAAGTCTACTAAATATTTTTTAAGCAAGCAGAGCAGCCCTATGGCCTTATGGATAAGGGAATCAGTTCCCACATAAGCAAGCATGTAATTTGAATTCTAGCCTTAACAGCTTACAAAACACACCAGGCACGTGTGCATCTAAGCCCCAAATTCAGGATGGAGAAATGGAGAAATGACTGCAGAGTGACCACACTCCACTGGGTGGAAGGTAGTTTCTGTCTTTCCCTCTCTGTTTGTCTCTTTTTCTCTCTTCCTGGTGAGCACATGCACTCTGGCAACAGAAGATAAAGAAAAGAAAGGGAAAAAAGAAAGCATATATGGTATACATATATGTGTATAAATACATGTATGTATCTTTAAAGTTATATGTATGTATCTTTAAAATTATACACCATTTTAGACTATAAAGATCATTTAAAATAATACACCATTTTAGACTAGAAAGGCCATTTTTTATATGCATTAGCTAGCAGTCACAACTTTACTGTGTAGATTTAATAACTGAAAGAAATTGTTTTTAATAATCCTACTTTGTACTCATCAATTTCAGACTGCTAAATTATCCACATCTTACTCTCAGGAACCAGTACAATGCCTGCCACGTAGTAGATGCTAAATACATTGCAATATAATGAAATCATGAACTCTTCAAACTCTGCTCTACGCTAAATGCTCCAATAATATAAATGTGTGATAACACATATATATATCTAGAACATCAGGAATAGATTCAATGAAGAAATATTTAAGTAGAGTAAAATAAACTTTATATTTTCAAAAGTCTATACCACTATCTCTTAAATACATATAAGGAAATATAAAATATGTTAACACAATCTTTTGGCTAATATTTTAATTATGGAAAAGCTGGGAAGTTTAGCATTATCTTCACAGAAACTACACCCTGGCAATCGATATATTAAATAAGTGTGAATCACAGACACAAACAAAACAAAGCAGGACAGGAACCCGCAGTTAGCGTAATGGCTATGTTACTGGACTCCCACATAGTCGACCGCAGTTCGCGTCCCGGACCTGGTGGCTTAAAACTCACGCTGGGCGTGTGTGCGTGCGTGCCCAAGATCCCGAGAGGAGAATGGAGGAGAAGGAATTGCGGAGTGACCACCCACTCTGGGGGGTGATTTCTCGCTTTCTGTCTCTTTCTCTCTCTCTGTCTGGTGAGCGCACGCTCCCTATAGCAAAAACCTCTCCAAAAAAACAAAGCATGACATAATAACAAAATTTTACCTGTTGTCAAGATTGTAGGTCTAAATTTAGCAACTTAAACAAATTTAATCATAAACTCCAAGCTAACTTACATCTTATTTCCTTGGTTTTAATAATTATGAGAGAGGTTTAAAGAAAAGTACATATAATATAGTGAAATTTTACAAACTGCAAATAGAAGAAGGAGCAAAGCATTAAGAAAGTTTCTTACTAGACGCATATGAAAAGTTTTATGACAGCCCACCCAGCAATAGTACCTTCATCATAGATTTTAGTAGCAGTGATCAAGTACAGCATTCATTTGGCCCATGTCCATACTGTCTTATCCTATCATTCATACTTTAATGGTTTCTTTTATATATGACTTCTATCATATTCGATTGCAAATCCTTTTAGGAAGTTAGTGGAAGAAACAAAAAGCAAAATTAAATATTCAGTCTTCTACTCTTAGTTGACTTTTTGCCATAAGCAAACCTTAAAAATAATGACTTCAAAAAATTCCTACTATTCTACCCTATATATATATATGTAAATGATACATAGCAACCTCTTAAAATAAATTCACCCATCTACTAAAAGGAAAGCAATGAGCCTGGTAGGAATCTATCAAAGTCAGAATTTTCTAAACCTTCATCTCCAACAATTATAAAAATGAGAACAAGAGTATTAATGTCATAAAATTATTATAATGACTAAAAGTCATAATGCCTAGTACATAATGAGCACTTACTACTTATTTTATTTGGTTTCTTCATAGTTTAAAGGGGACCAGTAAGACCTAACTACTGTAGCTTGTGTCTTTCCAGAATTCGTATATTGAAACCTAATCCCCAATGTAATGTATTTGGGAAGTGATTAGGTAATGAGGGGTTATTGTCCTTATAAAAGAGACCCCAGAGAGCTACATCATGCCTTCTGTCATGTAAGGCTGTAACTAGAAGACACCACAGAAATCCATGCCAGAAAGCAGCAACCCCCCTCAGACACTGACTCTGCCAGCATCGTGATTTTAGACTTTCCAGTCTCCAGAACTGTAAGAAATAAATTTGGTTTTAAGCCATTTAATCTATAGCATTCTTTTACAGTATTTCAAAAAGATGAAAATAGTAACTCAAAAAGCTGATAGAATTAACAGTAAATATGTATAAATCATTTGCATAAATTCCTGACATGGTGGGACTTTAATAAAATCATCCTTTTTTTTCCTATCATCCCTCTGAATTCCTACTTTGAGACACAAGAGAAGATTAAAATCAAATGTGTTAGAAGATGATTGGTTAACTGAACAGTAAAAATCATAGTACTCTAATAAACTATCATGTTTTGAGAACCAGAACAACTCTCCTGTGAAAGACTACAATTGGCATTTCTTAATTTATAAAATGTGTTCTAGGAAAAATGAGAGTACATCTTCTATATTGGAATTCACAAATATTTTTACCTTTTCTTCTAGCTGGTCCTTCAAACTCTGATATTTTAGTTTCAGTTTTTTGTTCTCATTTTCATTTTGGGTTAATTCCTCTGTCAGTCTGTCACACTGTGATTTCAACTTCTCTAGCTGACAACGATGGACCTTAGCCATATTCTTATCTTCTAAGTTTTCTGCCTGAAAAAAAGAAAAGGACAAAGAGAAAGTCTGCTCGCCATAGTCAAATTATAACAAGCAAATTATATAGGAAAATATATGGGAAAATATTTTATAACTTTAATTTTTCTAAAGCATTCATATGTAGACATGTAAATACACACAAAGAAAATATATATTCTTTTCATTTATTCAGTTATACCTCAGCACTTACTGGACATTTGATAGGTGACAGACACTGTACTGGGTGCTGAAGATAGCAGACAAGAATATTAAAAAGAGATAAATGAAACAATTAATTTGACAACAATGATGGAGAAGTACTAGCCAAAGGGTACCAAAGAAGGGACACCAACTCTACTGAGAATGGAAGAAGTTAGTAGAGAGGTGCCCTAAAAAGGACATAATATAATATTAGCAACTGACCAGTTGTGATATCTATGGAAGGAGCTTAAATTCTTGTTCTGCCTAACTCATTTTCATGAAATAATTATTTACTTTTTAAACAATGTCATTATTGGTACCACTCTTGTGGGACTCAAGAAGATTATGAATTGTAACAGCCAAGAAGTTACAGATGTAATGCCACAGAATTTACCAGTGATTATTTCAACATGGACAGTATAATAAAGTACCTGTTTAGGGATCTTTATTAGTAATATAACTAAAATCAACCTAAAAAAAATAATAATTGGGAGTAATCTTGTCTACATAGGACACAATAAAGATTTCCAGGAATATGGACTTACATAACTTTTAAATAACAATATATATACTAGGTGTTATGCACTGCTCTAAAATCTTTTTAGATAGTTTTTCCTCATTTAATTCCCACAATGACCTGACCAAAGAGGTACTTTTATTGCCTCATTGCCTTCATTTCTGAAACTGAAGCAGAGCCAAACTAATAACTTACCCAAGAGTACAGACTGAGCAAATTCAGAGCCAGGATTTGAACCGAGCAATTTTTTTTCTAACATCCATGCTTTCAACAGTTCTGTCACACTGCCTCTCAAAAGGTAAAATGTCATTAAGTTTTTAAAATTATCTGAGGGCAACTTGTAATGCTACCTGGCTACACTTACCAATTCTAATTTTCTCTAAGTTACTATATATACTCTGTTTGAAATAAATGCTTTAGGACTAGCCAATGACTTGGTGATTAAGGAGGCTGGATCCCACATGGCAAACTGCACAGTTCAAGTCCCACACCCAGAGGACTGAAAAATACACCAGGTATATATGCATGCATAACCAAAATCCCAAGAGGAGATTACAAGAAGGGACTATCTGCCACACGGCCATCCCTCACATGAGTATCCCCTATAGGGGTGCTTTTTCACTTTCTTCTTTCTGGCAAGTGGTCACGCCCTCTAGCAAATTAAAAATATTCATGTGTGTATATATGTGTGTTCCAATGACTAAAATCTATCCATTTCCTTCATTTTTATAAGTTTATTATATGTGTCTAATTAGGTATATAAGAGCACAACTTGTAAACAACTTCCTGAAAGGAAGAAGTTTCATGACTTTTAGACAAAAATCTATATTTATCCTACAAAATTTGCCAAGACTCGATGCTACTTTGAACTAACAAAGGAATTGATTTATTTTTTTATGAGCAATCATGGCCCTAAAATAAACTTACAAAATAAAGTCTCTCATCAGGAAAATTATTCAATTACAATTTCAAATTTCAGTAGAATGCTTTTACTTTTGTTTATGTCCCATAAAATGCACAGGTAACTAAGGTTCCCTGTAAGGTCAGTGGTGTGCGGGAGCCAGCTCACAGAGCCTCTCAAGAGTCACCTGAACTGGGACCAGCAGTTAGTGTAATGGCTATGTCACTGAACTCCCATGTAGCCAACTGCGGTTCGAGTCCCAGACCCGGGGACTTAAACTCACGCCATGCCAGGCACGTGTAAGTGCGTGCCCAAGATCCCAAGAGGAGAATGGAGGAGAAGGGACTGCGGTGTGGTCATCCCCCTGGGGGCTGATTTCTCGCTTTCTATCTCTCTGTCTTTCTGGTGAGCACAGGTGCCCTATAGCAAAAAAAAAAAAAAAAACTCTCAAAAAAATAGAGTCACATGGACTCATCTCCTCTCACCTTTGTCCTTCTCTAGTAAAATCTTATTTGATGCCTTAAATCAGCCAAGAGGGGAACACTTACACCACTTAACTTTGCAAATACTGTAAGTCACCCCCTCAAAGACTGCTTATTTTTAAATATTTACCAGTACACCAATGCCTACATTTGACCAAAAGCTGACTTATTATTTTTATTACATTGACATTTCTTTTGAGGGTTTACAAAGTGATACTATAGTCCCAACAACTCAGTAATATAGAAAGATATTACTATTCTCATTTTATTGATGAGGCATAAAAAGGTGAAATAACTTGGACTAGCAAGTAGTGTGATGGTTAAGGCACTGGACTCCCACATGGTTGACCACATTCAAGTGCTGCTCTGAAAATCAGACTGGGCGCATATGCATGTATGCCCAAAATTCCAGAAGAACAGAGAAGAAGGGACTGCAGCATGGCCATCCCCTCTAGGAAGTGATTTCTCACTTTCCTTCTCAGTCTCTCTCTGTCTCTGGTGAGCACACAAGCCCTATGGCAAAAACCTTGAAAAGAAAAGAAAAGAAAAGAAAAGAAAAGAAAAGAAAAGAAAAGAAAAGAAAAGAAAAGAAAAGAAAAGAAAAGAAAAGAAGTAACTTGGCCAAGATCAAATAGCCAGTAAGTGGCAAAAAGTATAGCTATCCAATCTTCATCTTTTGATTCAAATAAACATTCTACAAAATGACTCTGTTGAAATTATAATGAGGTGATAACCCAATATTCTGATAATAATAATAGTAGCTAGAGGATATCATTAAGACATGAAAGTCCTGAGGTTTTAGGACTATATAAAAAAATTTTTTTAAGTCTGAAGGTTTCAAAAGATCCACAGAATACTTTTAAATTATAAATTATTTACACACAAGTAATTTCTTAAGGTCTGAATGTCATCTCACTATAAATGAATTCAAATTACTTCCTAAGAAAGGACAAGGTAATGAATTTTCCTTTTCTGCATGAAGTAAGCAAGCAGCAAGTTCTCTATTTCTAGCTTTTTAAACCTTTCACAACAACCAGTGAATATCTTCTGTACCTCTAGACATTACACTAGACACCATAAGAGGATACAAAAATGCCTAAGACCTGATGCCTGTCTCTCTGGAGTCAAGGGAACACACAATAAACCAAAACATGAAGCAGCCCAAACAAGCCATACTATTATAGAAGCACCAGCAAAAAGTGATGGAAATACAGAGGATGGAGAGATTTAGTCTAACCTCAGTTGATATTTGGCCAAAGCTCAGTTGAGATCTAGCACAACCTCAATTGAGATCTAGCCCAACCCCAGTTGAAATTTATTCCAACTTCATTGGATTCATAAAAGAGGTAAATCATTGGGCTTTGAAGAATTAGGCAGAATTTTTCTTCCTGCAGATTTGGAAAAAGGCCAACCCAGATAAAGGACAAGCAGTGAAAAGTATGTGTGGGATATGGCTGCATGTAATAAATGTGCTCAAGTAAGGTGGGGCAATATTAAGGAGTGGACTAAAGTGGAGATTTTGTTCCAGAAACAGCAAATAATCAATGAACGGTTTTGAGCAGGATGTGACATATTAACATACATGTTTTAGCAAAAGGAATCAGGTGTTACCTGAAAGCTGAAAGGAAGAAGCTGGAGAAGAACAGAGGAAGTAAGAAAGCTGTTGGGTTCTTGTAAAAGTCATGGCATACTTTTCTATGTTTTTCTATGCAAAAATGGGTCATGACTTTCTCGTCAACCCAATATACAGAAGCACGGCTAATCTGTCCAAATTAGAAGATTCTGTCCTGTTTTCTAATATGCCATCTAATATAATGTTCATACACCAATGAATTCATAAGCAAATGCAATTCCTGAGAGTCAGGCTGTAACTCCATTACTTTATCTGCCATTCAAGAAAGCATATTTGAATGTGAAAAGTGATGTTCTTATACATACGATCTTGAACCTACCCTAACTGAATAAATTATTACTAACTCCTGATGATGTGGAAATTATCACACCACCTAAATTACAGTGATAAGACAGTAGTAGCAGTGACAAGGAAAGATTGGTCTAGTTTCATCAATACTCTCAAGAGAAACTGTACACTCCTTGAAAATACTCATTTCTCATGGTCATGCCCAGTACTGCTAATAATCATCACAAGCACATCTCTTCATGCAAAAACTCTGCCTTCCTTTGACATGCAAACTATTCCTCCCTCCTCTTTCTTGTTGGCAATAGCTGACTGACCAATCATCCTCTCCACTGGGTGTTTGGCATATGCCCAATTCATGTCTTAACAATAGTATCATAAATACCCACATGCCCCTCCAACAAGCTAATCTCACACTTATTTGAACTTTCTATTTGAATAATCTTCACCCACAAAAGCAACAACTAGATTACCACATCTTGGATCCTACCTCTAAAAATTCGCAATTCAAGAATTTCCAACCAAATAGGTAACCTCTCACCATAGGTTCATTTCCCCTCAATTCTTTTTCTTTGCCAATGACATTTTTATTCCAATGTCAGCCACATAGCATACTTTACATGTTCCCAGACTGGTCTCATTCAGTGTGATTCAGTTTCTACAGCAGATTTCATCTTTACCATACATAAGTTTCTTCTTGGACTATTGCCCTACTCTACTTCAGACAGAGGAAAGGGACTATTCATCAAAATTCTCTTCAACTCACCTAGATCATCCCTTTCAAACTTACCTAGTCTTACTGGTTTCCTCCAAAACCTTCAGAGAAAGAGAAAGCTAGTTTGCTGCTGAATGTTACATAACATACACATAAAAATACATATATATAACACATGAATATACACACATAAATACACACATATTAGGTCATCAGGAAAGTCATGACTTATTTTTCTATGATTTTCTATGCAAAAATGAGTCAATTTTTCAGACAACCCAATAGATACATACATATACACTATATTTGATCCATCCTCCTCACATCTACTGGACATTCTCCATCAGCTTCTGTGAGATAGAATGAACACTTCTTTTTTTTAACTTCTTTTAGCTCATCTGCCACATTTAACACTCTTAATTGTATCTTTCTTGAAATGTTCTACCTAGGTTTCCAAGATAGCATTCTCTTCTGATTCTCCTTCTGTCTCTCATATGGTCTTTATTTACTTATTTACTTTTTTTAATAGCCAGAGGCTGCATGTTCTCACCAGAGAAAACAGAGAGAGAGATGAGGGAAGAAGCACATCCCCATGTGGGATGATCACAACACAATTCCTTGTTCTCCATTTCTCCACCCTGTTGGGATTTGGGGCATGCATCCACAAGCCCTGGTATGATTTTCCAGCCACCAGGGTCAAGATTCAAACCTCCGTTGGCCATATGGAATCTAGCTCCCTTAATCACTAGGCTATGGGGCCAGTCTATCATATGATCTTATACTCTTATCTCTAGAATCTCTTTCTCGATTCTTTCTTTAAACATTGGCATGCTCTAGAATGTAATACTCTCCTTTCTCCCTGCATAATCTCATCCAAATCTCATGATCTCAGATATCACATGTTAATTTATTGGCTCTCAAACATGTCAGTCTAATCTCAGTATCCCCCTCAATCCCTGACCCATTATGTACTAAACTCCTCTACCTACACTTTTATGGTTAATCTTAAGGTCTCTCCCTCCTAACTCAACATGCTAAAAAACCTGGAGAGGCCACTGTTCTGTCCAAATCTGAATTTCTGTCTGTATTCTCCATGTTGGCAAATAGCATCATAATCCACTTAGTCACATAAATTATGACTTATCATACTTGATTCTAAACCTTTTCCAGGATAGCAAAGTAGCTAGGAAAATGAGTACTGGACTACCTAGGTTCAAACCTAATCTCTAATAGTTAGCGATGATGACGATAATACAACTTTTTAAGTCCTTGATCAAATTACTTACGCTTCTCTATCTCAGTTTCCTCATCAGGAAGAAAACAACCCCACACAATCAGCAGTTATGGTGTGAGTATAAAATGGCTAACAAATGTGAAGTTTGTAAAATAGTTATAGGTACAAAGTGATGAAAAAAGCATGTTTACTAGTGGTATTGCTGTCATAGCCAATCACCTTGTAATACATTTATTTTTCTTTAAGATCAGTTCTTTTCCATATCTTTATTTCTATTTTATTTTTGTCCTTAACAACTCTAAGGACTACTGTGCCAAATTTAATCAATATTAAGATGTATATTTTTCACATTTTAACATCTCTGACTTGGGATGTTGTTCTACAGTCATGGTTTCACAGGCAGGAGGCAGTATTTTTTTTTTCTTAGTAGCATATAACAATGATATATCTTACAACTGATGGGATTTTAGGTTCAACGAAATCTAGTAAGGATTCCTTACCTACTTTTTCAGCCTCTATTCTGATCTGCCAAACCCTGTTCATGGCCCCAAATTGGCCATTTCAAGAAAGTTATATCAGACTGCAGAAGGCTTCATATAATGGGTAGTTCCCTATAAATGTCAGTATTCCAATGTAACTCGATCCTGCCTCCTGCCTCATACACATTTTTAAAATAGTAGTTGCAATTAAAGGACTTTTGAAAAAAATAATTATGATTTTAACCCTTGAAGATGCTTTAATTCATTTACCTATTCAACAGATATTTATAATATTACAGAAACTGTTCTAGGCACTGGGGATTTAGCCATAAATAAAACAGACTCCAATTCCAGTCCTCATGGAGTTTTCATTCTAATAAAGAATAAAAAATAATATGGAATCCATATCATATGATATGTACTATGAAGGAAAAATAAAGTACCAAAGAGTTGCTTTGACTTCTCCAACTCCTGACAACCATGTTATAAAATAACTGCCCTGTATAGAGATAATGTTAATATAATTAGGTCTTAAAAATATTGCCTTAAATTAAACATCTTCATTAGGCAAATTTCATATGGAAAAGAAGGGGTGAATCTCAAAAAGCCTTGGGTTTATACCACCCATAAGCTGATCCACTTTAGTTACCCTACTAATAAGGATTGCAGTTATAGCGACTATGGCCTTGACAAGTCTTTGCCTTTTATATTTTAGGAGGTCATAAATGTTGAATGAGGGCACGTTTCAGGTCCACGACTTACTGCCACCTCTGCCTTTCCTGAACTCCCCAAATAGCTAAATGATCTTTTTACAGGGCTTCAATGCTCTGAAATAGGTTCTCCCAGGTGGCTGCTATAACTCATTTCAACCTGGCCGAACAGGCATGAACAAGCCTCTTTATTGTTGGTTTTATCTTCCCTTCAGTGCTTGGGAATACAAAATGATCTCTAAAAGTTTACGCTTTATTAACTTCATGAGCCACCAGGAAAATTCCTTCAGTATCATCAGGATAATTCAGCACAGGTACCTTCAGTGTCCTAATATGGTTCTCAGCCTCACTCTTTTCTTTCTTAAAGTGCTTCATCAGTTCCTGAATATTTTGCTCGTGCTTTGTTTTCACACTCTGCAATGATGCTGTGAGATCTTCCAGCTCCCTCTGGTGAACATCTCGTTCTAGCTTTAACTGTGTGATGACTGTAGCTGTCTCTTCATCCTTGGATTTCGCCTGTGCGGTGAGATCAGAGATGTTCTTAAGCACTGCTTTTTTGGCTCTCTCTTCCTCAGCCAATTTGTTAGCAAGATCTGCTCGGATGGCACTCAAGTCCTTGATGGACTCTTGCATCTCAAGAAGTTTAGCTTTGTCCTGGGCTTGACTCTTCTTTAGCTCTGCAATCTCTTCTTCCAGGTGAGATTTCTCAACCTTTATCTGATTGTGACTCTTACTCTGTTTTTTCAGTTCACTTTCTAGTCTATGGATGGTATCCAGAGAATTCTTGACTTCTAATTCAAGGTCAGCTTGATGAGACTGAACATCACTTAGTTTCTTCTCCTTACAGTGAAGTTCTTCCTCTTGAAGGGCACGCTTGGTTAAGACATCATTAAGTTCCTTTCTAAGACTCTCAAGTTGTTGTAATGCTGCATAAAGCTGACTTTTCAATTCATCTTTTTCTTTTAGAATCTATCAGATTAAAAACATAAAGCAAAAAATGTTACTGTGAAACTCACCATAGGCTCTGCTATATAACAAAATAGTCTAATCCACGAAAAGAAAAGGTCACCAAATAATACTTAGTATTTTTTTCCATTTTTTTAATAAGAAGTATTTTTTTAGCTGGGGGAAAAACACATAATTACCTTGACAGCACACCACTGAAACATGTGTCTCAGATTTTAATCACCAAAACCTGTATCAACACATCGTCATAAATAATTATTTAAATGTAAGATAAAAATTGAGCAAAGGAATGGGAAAAGAAAAAGACTCCTATTATAAAGGTAATTTACCAGATGCTGAAATAATATAGCATTATCTAAAATAGCAACAGTGTGCATTCCAGTGATATGCTTTCAAAAAAGAGAACCCTCAAAAAAAGAAGTACAAAATAACACTGGGAAACATGCAGATACAATCTAAGAAAGGTTATGGCACAATCGGTTCATCAGTAAAATAACCAGTAGTTAACACACAAGAAATCAGTTTCCTCAAATATAAAACCAGGAGTCTTGAAGCCCCACAAAGGTAGAAAAGAGATCAGGACTAGAAGAGGTTGGAAAGGAGCTCGAAGGAAAATCCAAGGGCCTGAACACCCATCAACCTGTGCTGGCCTCTTTAGGAGGTTAGGGATTACAGTGAGCGACAGAGGCCAAGAATTAATCTTCATGGCTTTAAACGCTTAACACTCAATCGCCACAAAGAAAAAAGTGGGCAGTCAAGAGATTATTTTCTTTTCAACACAGATAGCCAGGAGAATCTCTGTGCCTGCTTACTGATGAATATGTGTCCCCTCTTAAACTTAATTGTTTAAACTTAATTTCCATTATAACAGAATTAAGAGGTAGGACCAAATAACATGAGAGCCATTTACGCATTAGTGATTAATGATTTATTGAGATATGGTGAGAACGGGTAGAGCCCCCTTTCTCTCTCTGACACAGGCTTGCTCGGTTTCACCATGGGATGCCCTCTACCATATTATGATGCAAGAAAGCCCTCACCAGATCCCTTCCCAATCTCCAAAAGAGTGATCAAATAGACTTTTGATTTTTATAAATTATCTGGTCTGTGTTATTCAGTTATACCACCACAAAATGAACTAAGATATATACCATGTCTTGAACTGAGGGGTGTGGGGGGGCTCATTTCAGAATTAGAAATAATGAGTCAAAACACAAAATACTTGCAAATACATCTATACTTTACATTCATACATGAGTGTGAAATAATTTGTAGTAAAATGTAGTGAGTCAATCACTCTAAAAAATTTAGTTTCCTCGAATTTCTCAATTTTAATAGAGTGAAAGAAAGAACTCAAAGCTAACCCCCAAAAATAATAAAAAGAGGTGATTAAGCGGTTGAATTCTGACCATAGAAAATAAATTTAGGTCTGAATCCAATCATGAGTAGATCTATAGCCATAATGAAATTATTTACCTTCACATAGATAACAAGTAACAGCTACTCCATAAACTTGTGATGAAGATTGGTAGAAAGGGGGAAACAAAAGAACAGGGGTGGGGATTCAAGTTCAAGGAGGAACCAGGGTCTCAGGGAGAAATTTATGCAAGGTAGTAATCAAAACTGTGAAAAGAGGGAGTAAGTGATAGAGCCATGTCCCCCTAGTGGAGAGACTCTGGCAGAGGGATGAAGGAGCTTGCTCTTCAAAACATGTAAGGCAGGAAAAGTAGCAAGACAGATAAGCCTAAGGGTAGATATATTATTTGTTCACTGCTGCGTAAAAATTTCCAACAGACTTAGTAGCTTAAAATAATGCCCATTTATTATCTCTATTTGTTTCCAATAGGTAAAAAAGTAGCTTAAAATAATGCCCATTTATTATCTCTATTTGTTTCTAATTGGTAAAATAGTCAGGTAAAGTATTCGCTTAGGATCTTCTAAGGCTAAAACCAAGGGAGCAGCTTGCTTGAGCTTTTATCTGGAAACTCTGGAAAGGATTCACTTCCAAACTCCCTTAATGGCAGAATTTAGCTCAATGCAGTTGTAGGACTTAAGTCTCCATTTATAATGCCCATTTATTATCTCTATTTGTTTCTAATTGGTAAAATAGTCAGGTAAAGTATTCGCTTAGGATCTTCTAAGGCTAAAACCAAGGGAGCAGCTTGCTTGAGCTTTTATCTGGAAACTCTGGAAAGGATTCACTTCCAAACTCCCTTAATGGCAGAATTTAGCTCAATGCAGTTGTAGGACTTAAGTCTCCATTTCCCTGCTAGTTTAGACCGAGGGCTATTCTGAGCTTCTTGAAGCCGCACACATTCCTGAACTCATGAATTTCTTCATCAACCAAGCTAGCAACTATATAATGAGTCATTCTCACCTCAGATCTTCTTCTAATTGCCAGAAAATGTGCTCTTTTGCTGTAATGACAATATCTCCCAGAAATTCACGTGATGAGACATGGTTGAAATGTAAAGGTGCTAAATGAAAACCTAATCCTTCATGATAGACCAGAGTTTGGCCCATTGGTGTTATAAGGTCAGTAGGGTGGGGCCTCTCTGATTGAGTTCTGGTGTGTATAAAAGAGGGGGGAAAAAGATGGGAACAAGAAGAAACTTACGGAGGCCAGCAGGTGGCATGGTGGTTAAAGCGCCTGACTCCCACATGACCAACCATGGTTTGAGTACTGGACCTGGTGGCTTGCTCTCTTTCTCTCTCTCTCTAGGGAGCACACATGTCCTATAGCAAATTTAAAAATAACAAAAATAAAAGTAATTAATTCTTTTTTAAAAAAAAGAAGAAATGTATGGACATCTGCTCTGCTCAAGATCTTGCCCTCTGCCATACTGTGGCTTCAGAAGAAGTTGACCCCTGGATCTTAGACCTCTAAACTATGAGCAGAATAAATATTTATTTCTTTAAAATCACCCAGTCTCAGGTATTTCTATAACCAATACGGTAAGGACTGAGATATCTTTTTAAGGGTCTGTGTGATTATATTACGTCTGTCCAGATAATCCTCTAATCTTAAGGTCAATGTCCCAATAACATAATATAATCATGGGAGAGATATCACATACACAGGTTATAGAAACTAGGGTGAGACATCTATTGAGGGTGAGGGTGGCAGTGTTCATTCTACTTACCACTCTAGAAAAAAGGAAAACTAATAGAATCAAGTTTGGGTTGTAAGGATAATGGGGAGTGGGTGAAGGTACCTATGAGTGAAGGGAGGTAGCTTTTAAAAAGTGATTAATGTTTGAAACAAATAGCATAGTCCCCTGGCCATGAGTTAAACTTCTAGCAGTCCTGAAAATCAAAATCATACTTCAGGATAAATCTCTATCAGGAAAAATTTGACTACAAAATATTATATCTTTCCAAAATTAATATAAATAGCAAGGGTATTTATTCTTCTCATCACACAAGAGGAAGTCTGGAGATAGGGTAGTTCAACAAAAGTCCTTCAAAGCTTAGGATTTGCTACTGCACAGTTCTCCAGACTTTGCACCCTTCTCAGTGTTCCAAGCAGCATATCAACTCATGACAAAGTGACAGCCAAAGTGTGAAGAGTCACAGTCTGTCTATGTTGGTCAAGCTTGCAATTTTTTTGGCAATACAGATACTAAAAACTGAGTAAACTCTATTTGTTTCTGGTTAATTGCTTGGCTAGTAACTACAGCCCAAGGTTTTGTCTAGACATCATCTATGAGTCTGAAAATGTCAGTTTCTCCCTAACCACTGCCTCAATACCCCGAACATTCCCATGGGCCCTCAGTTGAATACCCTTTATCTTGATGCAATACAAAATGATGAACTTGGGTCCCCTTTGTCTGGCCAGGAATACTTAAGTTCTTGAAAGGATCGTGAGAAAAAGTCCTGTTTCTTATCTCATTTTTATTGTTGCTAAGTTTCATACTTCCTACTTGTGCTTGGACTAAACAGATTACATAGATAATTTGGCCTGACTAACCTGAAAAGACTAAATTATCAGACTTAGACTCAGTCTATTTAGATTCAGACTTCTCACCCTAAAAATATTTCACTCTCTGCTTTTATTAATAGAAAACAAGCTTCAACCTAAACTTATCCCTCTCCTCTAGGATATTTCTAAAGTATGTGCACACTGCTCCAACATCTTGAAGTTTTCTAGCTTAGTGGTTATTTAATATCATATTCTGATCCACTGCATCAATGCTCCAAAGATGATTTCTAAGGGTTATCAGCTTTCCCTTTAAAATAGTATGATCCTACCACCTGCCCTACTTCCTTCAGTCAACCCTACAGTTTAGGTTCTTTAATTTATAGTTTCTTATTCCTAGAATTGAAATTTTATATCAGTTTGAATTTCTTTTGCTGAGATTAGGAGGAAAAAACAATTAAAATTCGCAGAAACCACAAAGAAACGTATTATCATTCCAGACAGAACTGTTCCAGACCACAGTAAGTCAAAGCTCTCACTCCACTTTTCTGCCATTGTCTCAGTAATACCACCTTCTTGTGAAGCTACATTCTCAGGATGGTAGCAACACAGTTCTCAGCCATTCCAGGTATAATAATATAGTCAAACAATATGAAGAGGAGGGAGAAATATTTTCTAGTGTATCATTTTTAGGAATAAACATTCACCAGGAGCTACCCAACAGACGTCCTGCTTATTCCTCATTTATCAGCTAGGACAGCGTACCTATTGACTGGTTTAGATTAATTAGTTACATGGAATGGATGGAGGGGAAAAGATGTAACCATAACCAGAACAGGAGGCAAGTGACATTTTTCTCTAAGTTTTGCTGGTACTGTTCAGAAGAGATGGACAATGGAGAAATAGACCCCAGATTAGAGATTATTAAAATATGTGAGGCAGAGGAAGAAATTGAAAATGCTGATCTCATCGAAGTAGCTTTTAATAGAATCCAATCTGACAAGAAAAACCTAAAGCAAAGAAATGGCTGTTTAACCAGAGGAATGGCCGAAATAAGGTATTAATGGTTTAAAAAGAAAAAAGA